TTGTACATCTCCTGGCTACACTTTTAATTGGCATTTACAGGCCTAAGAAGGAAACTTTCATCTCCTCCTACACCAGTATGCAAAGATTTCTGGTTATTGGCACCCACTCCTGCAGTTGATATATCCCAACCAGAGTTTTTGCTAGGCTGGGTAGAACAGGCTGCTCTGCGTCTTTCTATCCATCTGTACTTGTGCCAAAGCAAATTAGGCCTTTGGTTGGATCCTTGATCGCCTTCATAATAATCTCTTCCTGCTAATTGCCTGTGTGTGCAAACAAATCTGTAGCACAGAGGAGCATGACACTGAAATCTCTAGTTAATGTGCTTGTCCCTAGTGTGCTATATCTCCTGTCAGGGTGAGAATGAAAAGCTTCGTGAGCCTTCATCATTTGTTTTCATGCTGCAGCAGTGGCACCAGAATTTCATCCAAAGAAGTGCTTGCTGAATAAATCAGCAAGCTTCTCTGACAACTATCAAGAGCAAGCCTTTGGGGGAGGATCAGAGTTAAGCTATGTCACCTTCAGGTCTCTGAGCAGCTTTATGTTACAGGAGATGCTATGCTTTTTCACCCTCCCAATTCTTCCTAGCTCTCAGCCTTTCTGTAATTAAAATAATGAGTAAACACTCTTCATCAGCCAGGCATTTCTTATGCTGAGTGAGGCCACTGGGTTTCATTCCTGTTTTTCTCTTGTTCTTCCCCCTTAGAATGTGCTTACGTTTATTCAGAGCTGTGTTCCTGGAACAAGGAACAGAAAGGGATGATCTGGTTTTGATATGGGCATTTTTGCATCCATCTAATGTTTTCAGTAATCTCTAGATAGGCTCAACCTCAAAAGCATATATATACACGTTGTACATATCATTTACCTGGTGTATTTCCTTCTGCCATCATTTAAAAAAGTCAAAGACCTTCAGCTAAAAAACATCTGTAGGCAAAGGCTCTGCCACAGTGAGACAAGAACATCAGAGAGATTATATTAAAGGAGGACAAAGTTAGTGAGGCTAAAAAGCATTTGAAAGCCAGAACAGAATGAGTGTGTGTGAACAAAAGAACAATACATACAGTTAACAGCATGTTTGGGATGTTAGTTCTTAGTTGCTTATGTCTACAGCAGTATTGAAACATACATTGAAACATACAACAGCATGTTGAAAAAAAAAATAATATTTCTCCAAACTTTTTCCTGCTCGTTAAATCTCAGTCACATGCACTTTTGCTGTGCACCAAGATTCATTATTCACTGCATTGTCATTGCCTGTTGTTCACTGAATTCTGACCTTTTCTTTTAATTCAAGGAAATTCCTGCTGAAGACTAGAAAAAAAGTCCCTGTTCTAGCAGATGACTCATTGCTGCCACATCAGCTTCCATAGCATATTTAAGTCTGAAACATTACTGGAACAGAGGAAGAGAAAAGAAAAAGAAGTGGATCAAAAGCTCATTAGTAACTAGAATTCAAGGAAGAAAAAGGTGAATGTCGTAAGACTAAAGATAAAAAAAGGACGTAAAAAGGTTCACTGATGAAAACTGAAAGGGTTAGCAGTAAGAAATGACTGGTCATCTTTAGGGGAGATCACAGAGTAGAAAAACCAACATGAATGTGTTTAAGGGAGAGAACTAGTATGGTGACCTATAGTAACAGGGTTCTCCCAAGTCAAAAGAGATCAATGCCTAGCTCAAACTCTTTGGACAGCACAGATCTGAGTGATACTTAGGAGGAGGATTCGAAACTCAACTACAAACCAAACATGAAATGTACCAAGGGTAATGAAAAGATGGATATCAACACTAAAACCTCTCATTATACAAAGCCCTTCCAATATGTGAGGCATCAATCTCTCCTCCTCCCCTTTTTAGGTCTAAGAACTATCTAGAAGTTCATGAAAGATTATGAGCTGCTGGAAGCAAGGAAATAATACTGCATATTGGTCAGAAATATATCTCACCAGAACTGGAAAGAGATAGGAGAAGACATTATGGATCCTGGGACTAGAAATCCATTTCTTTCTTATTTCCAAGAATCTGTATGTGGAGAAAGGAAGAAGTTTTCTTGTCAGATGTAGGTTCTATCTTACCAAACTCACAAAAACATAAAATCATAGAATCATTTAGGTTGGAAAAGAGCTTTAAGGTCATCAGGTCCAACCATTAACCTAACACTGGCAAGTCCACCACGAAACTATGTCCCTAAGTGCCACTTCTACATATCTTTTAAATACCTCCAGGGATGATGAGAAAAGGAGAATACAGAGGAGATTTCAATCATGTCCACTGTACAAACCACAAAGGAAAAAAAGGGTGTGAAAACATCATTGAGAAAAGATGATAGAGTTTTAGAAGTAAAATATGACCCATAAATCAGATTAGAGATGAAAGGCATTCCGCTTCTAAATATTTCGGCAATTCTCTTAAAATTACTTACTCTTGTGACAAGATGAGGTCTGCCTTCAGATACCACACGCTACAGACTGATCTTCTATAAACTCTTCTTCCTCTCCCCCACAGTATCTTTTAGGCCTTTAATCATGCCAAAGACAGTTTAATAAAACTCTGATATTCCCTCAGAATTGCCATTCAAGTCTATTCCCAAACTGCAGCCCATGTGATGTCATCTTCCTCTGTTTTCTGTTAGCACAATTTCAGTTCTTCCACTGATCCTATTCACAGGTTCAAAATATTTCTTTCGACACCAAAATGTTCTCCCTGCTAGCAGTTGTCCAGTGACCATATTTTATTCATTAAAATAATAAAAATAGCCTACATCGAACCTCCTGAAGCAGGCATTGGAGGTCCATTATAGCTCAATCTCCAAACAGAGCCAACCTTGGATAGAAAAAAAAGATTTCATGTCAAAACCCCACTATATAATGTTTTAAAGTTTTGCCTACTGAGATTTATAAGCACCACTTGAGCTACTCCACAAGAATAGGCATAGCATGCATTACTATCTAGATTTACTGCACAATATTCCAAAATAGTAAGTTAAGGCTCATTAACTCAACTACACAGACAAATGAAGTGGATCCCAACAGCTCTAAATTGACAAAAGTCTATCTGTCAATATAGATCCTTACTTCATCAGGAAATGGTTGGTCTAATAGAAAAATAAAGTCAAGATAATGATGTTACTCGTGAAAAGCTCAGTCTGTGAGCAAATTGTGCAAAAAAAAGAAGGGGGGGGGGGGGGGGGGGGGAGGGAAAAAAAAAAAAAAAAAAAAAAAAAAAGAGGAAAAAAAGAAAGAAAGGAAATAAAAAAAAAGAAAGACAACACGTGGGTGGTCTGCCCAGGAGACTTTTGACTTTGTTTTTTTGGCTATTTTATTTCTTGGCAGAAGAGGGGGGGGGGGGGGGGGGGGGGGCAAAGTGTTTTTAAAGCTGAACAAAATATAACCAATTGAAGGAGAAAAATCATCAAGGACAATATCCACTATGGCAGAGGTCATTTCTGTGGACTTCAGTGTCTTTGGTAACAGGTCAACAGGGCTTTGAGATTTGAACAGGTTGAAAACACAATACCAGATAATCTTTCAGCATTTAGCTCCTGTGTTGCCTTCATTTGCTTCTTCTGTTTCTGATCATCTCTTCTCCTCCCATCTTTGCCTTGTAGACTTTCCTGTTTCTGTTGTTTTGTAAGAGTTCTGCTTAATTAGCTAATGTTTGCAAAGCAGAGTATGTGGTAAGGGCTATTATAATTCTTTGGCAAAAATGTCTGATTAAGATTCAAAGCACAGCCAGAACAGCTGTCAGAAAAACCTCTTGTAATGTCAATGTCCTAATATTGCAGATGATGCCACTGGATACAAATTTATAAGCAATTAGTTCTTTCTTGAGCTTGCAAAGTAAATTCCAAAAATTGTCTCAATAAAATTATTTTCTGCATCTATATTCAGATCCATTTCATAAAAACTAGTATACTGCATTTTTGTATAGTTTTTTTCATCTATTCAGGGCAAGCAGTTAGCCAAAGTAAGTGTAATCAGACATATAATTTATTTATTTTAACAGCTACTTGCTGCTGAAAACACTTTCCTCTTAGAACAATCATTCCATGGCAGGCTTTTTCATTGGTATGCGGAGAATCAGCTAGGCCAAAACCTCAAGTTGATAAAAAATCATTGTCTCCCATTGAGTTCAGACTCATACCTACTGACATCAACAGAAGAAATGGTCCATTTTATTTTCCAGTACCAATTAAGAAACAGGAAAACTTGCATTAATTGTTGGATCATAAAAATTTCAATGTTCTTTCCTTTTTTTGGTCCATTACTTAAAAATTAATTGATTCAGTATATTATTAGCACCATTCCAGATTATTTTTTTTTTACTGCAGCTGACCTATGCTGAAATCCCAAAGCCAATCTGCTCGGAAGTTTTGACGACATGCTTTTGTCTTGATTTCTTTTTTAAATTGCTGTGAATAGAACAGGAGAACACAGCTTGAAAAATCTGAATTTATACATGACCAATGAAATAATAACCATTATTACAGCCCTTAAAGATCTTTTCACAAGAAAAGTTAATCTTTAGAGGAAGCAACCATTCCTTGTGACCTTGAATTAAATTTGCCCTGCTTCCATGGGAAGCTTATTCTTTAGGCTCAGTCACTCCTGACTGCCTTTACATTTATTTGCAATAGCACCTGGTCTTCTGTCTAGTCTCCATTGAATAGGAGTATTTGAAAGGCTGCAGAATAATTTCAGGATAATATGTTTTAGAAGAGTTGGTGAATATGTATGTTAAAGGCAAATGGTTTTTATGAAGGCTTTGTGTAGACACATATCTAAGTAACTAACCAACATTAGAGATGGGGTTCCCCTTTCTCTTTAAAATTATTTTCTGATACTGTAATGGCAGTGTTTTGCTTACCCCCTGCCTTGCATGCATTAACCAAATTATTTCTCTCTTCATTTCATTCTACTGAGCAGAAGTGAATTTAACCCTTCTGATAATTCAGGAACAATCTTCTCCAAGACTGATACAGATTTTTGGGGTTTTTTTATAGAGAAAGACCTTGGGTCCTGAGATTTTTACTGCTGCTTTCCATATGCCATATTTCTGTTGCCGCTGCTACCTGAATGACTAAATTTCCACCTAACTCCCTTCAGGACATCATTGTCTTCAGACACATTTTAAATATTGTAGAGACTCCTCTCTGGTCTCATCCCAAGTATGTGAGAGGGAGCTATCATGTACACATGTACATGCAAGCATGAAAAAATCTGTCTGTAAAGTAAAGAAAACAAAATAATTGGTTTACTGAAAGAACTATAACAAATATTTGCACAGAGACAACTGTTTTTTTTAAAAGACCTCAAGCCTAAACTTTTTACATTGAACCCCAGTGAAGACAAAAACGAAGACGAAGGAAGGCTCTGAGGATGCTCCAGACCGGTACAAGAGAAACAACCTATTTTTTCTCCTAGAGAAGGTGGAAATATCTTCTTAGTGGAATCTCCTCAAATGCCGAGTGAAGACAGCATTGGAGTTTTCAAAAGTGGCATTGGAAATTTCCCAGCTTGAGGACTGATCAGAGAAATACAGAGGTAATGTTTCAATCTTGGGGTGAATTCTGCTATATATATTAATATCATTTTAGATACAGTATAATTTTCATGAAACCACTAGTACAATATTGAGATTAACAAAAGACAGGAGGTTTAGACAGTTCTATTTGAGTGAGTTTTCACTCACACCATCATTGGGAGCACACTATAATAGAGCAAGTCAGCCCCTTGAGCAGCCAAGAGATTTAGTGTTTGCCAAGCTCATTTTATTCAAGCCATGTGGGATTTGCAAAAGCATAGGAACAATTCTCAGGTCACTACCTGCCAAAGAAAAAATGAGTTGTAATTTAATTCATTCAGTCCTGAAAGAGAAGGGACAAAAATTAAGAGTACAAAGATGAATACAGTCCTACAAGACAATAAAAAAATATATGTTCAGTAATAATCCTTCTAGGTTCAAGGAAACGGCATCAGAAATGCAAGGAGTTTGCACAGACATCAAATAAAAGAAATAAAACCCTGAAAGCAACCTAAAATCTGTCCTTGGGCAAGGTTAATGCTTTTTTGATGCAATTGAAACCAATGTAATTTATTCTGGGATCTGTTATTCCCTTCCAGTTCCCAGTCAGACCTTCATATTTTTCCCTCTTCCGATATTGTTTGGAGTTTTAGCTCTTCTCACTTGTGGTTGCTTAAGGAAAAGTCAGCCTGAAGATACTTTCCTGTGCTGTTCCAACAGCCAGGCTTTAGTTTTGCCACTAGAGTCATTTTTAGGGAGCAAGAGGTTTTGCTCCTGATCATCTTGAGGAACTGATTGATATGCTTTCTGAGAGCATCAGATGACAGGCCAGTTGAGCTAGAAACTACTTATAAGGATCAACTTCTGGAACAGAAGGATTAAGTGATGGGAAACATCAAAATATATTCTCTGTGGGTTCTTATGGCTGGAAAAAGCATATGCTGATCCTAGTACTGGATATAAAGCTCCTAGAGAAATCCTGGGCTCTCTGCAATCATATCCTTGATGAAAAGACATGGGAAGTTACTCAGTTCTGTTTGTATCATGCTGTCTTTATGCTCCAAAAAGTTGGCAGATTCAAAAGGACGAGTTCACTGAAGCTAAAATTTTTGAGGTTTTATCAGATTTACCCATATGATCTGCAAATTGTTCTGAAATGCACCATAAAATCAAATTATTTGTAAGAGAGATAAAGGATACAATACTGGATGAGTTACTTCCCTCTTGGCCAGTATTCCCACTAACAAAATAACAATAATTATCCATCAAACCAAAAAGACCTCCAAGTTCTGCAGAGGAAAAACATGCTGTCTACCAAGTGTTAGCATGATACTGAAGCTGACTGCAGTGGTCAAAGACAACTACATCTCTGTACTTTCAGATTATTGCATTATTTATCTTTCAGTCATACAGATTCACTCTGAACTGTTCAGTTCACACTTAACTTGTAATATAGTCAGTATGGGGGCTCTGTGCTGTCTCACCACTGTTCCTTCATTGTCTAAATTTTAAATGTACATGAGCATACTCCTCCTCATGCTCATAAATTAGTTTTTGAACTTCCAGCATCTAGAATCTGCCTGATGTGGTAATAAGACCACACATTATGAGATCTGAAAGCAGATATGTTTCTAAAATTATGCAATTAAAATTTCATAAACAGGATCAAGTGAAAAAAGTAGTCAGCTTCTCACTACCAAAGGAATACAGTGTCAGATACAATTGAGAAAGAACAGGGCAGGGCATACCCGCCCACATGTGATGTTTTCAAATATCCTGTATGTGAAGACAATCATTTTAAGATTTCAGGATTACTAGAACAACGTCAGTGGTTTTGTTGGCTCTCTTGAGAATGTAGAGCAGAGGGGAGATTTCTAAAGGCTAGGAAAGAACCCAACATTTGCCTACCTTAAAAACAGGGAAGGAAGAGAGTTGGGTAGAAAGAAAGAATCACAAACTGAGATTTTTAACTTCCATTCCCAGTAATATGCCAGAAAAAAAAATAGCCTAATTGTTTTTAAATATCCAAACAAATAAAACTACTGAATTGTATTTTATGAAGAGAAAGTCAAGGCTCATTACTTTCTGGAATGGGTTAAGGTGGAAATGGCAGAAGCAGCAATGCAATATTTATCTTTAATTTTTGAAAGACTGCTGTCAAGATAGAACCTGTTTGTAGCTATTGAGGATATTGCACGAGGGAGTGTTAGAATGGGAGATTAAGTCAGACAACAGGTAAAACTTCCAGGTGAATATAATTAAGCAGCTAAATGGGACAAGTCATGTGTTAATCATTGGAAGTTCTTAATAACAAACATCTAGAAAGTAATCTGCTGGGAAGTGATGTAAATAGAAGTGATCGTGTCTTGGAGCAGGAAAAATGATCGATGGTCCCTTATGGCTGCTTTTTAACTACAGGCTCTGGGTGGCAACGCTTGAAACTAAATATAAGAAATCTTCAGATTGCTAACATTGAATTGAGCTATTATTGAATATCTCAAATGGTTTTCTCCTGCTTCTTCCTGTCAAGAGTTAAATAACAACAGCTCCTATTTTCAGTTCCACTTTCTTGATAATACATGCACTAAATATTTTTCATCTTAAGGTAAGTATCTTAGGCAATTCCAAAAGGCAAATTCATATAACCTGCTCTGAGTATAATAGCAACTTAGATGCAGATGTCTAACTTCAAGGTATGAGCAATAGCTGACATAAATCCTACCTTCTATTTCAAAATACAACAATATGCAGGGTAAAACAGGAATAAAATGCCATGAGTCAGTAGTGAAGACTGAAAATACTTTGAGGCTGCAAGGTAGATTAAATACAAACAACAGTTAAAAATACTGCTATTCTATTTCTCATAAAAAATACAAAAGAGCTTCCTGAAGTATATTACAGAATCACAAGGGGTTCAGAAATTGGTTATGAAAATGTTCATGGTCCTGGAATAAAAATTTCATAAAAAGAGATTGAAAGATTGTATGATTGTTTACAGAAGAAATGAATACAAGGAGTTATGATGAAAATATATTAAATTTTGAGAAGTTAAAGGAAGAGCTTCTTATTCTTCATTTTTCTGTGTCCATAACTCAAAGAGAAATTTCCACAAAATGTTCCAGATAAATGTCATTAATGGAAATGCAGCTTCTTGAAATATGTAAACCAGTTATGGAACTCACTGCTGAAGTGTGGTGTTGAGGATATCTGAAAATAAATATTAAATATTTTCAAGCTATACTAATGATAGTTACAGTACTTGCTGCTCTGCTTACATGTGAAAACTTGGGTTTTTTTAAAGTGATGTTTCATTTTGCTTCTCTGTCTAAGAATATGTGAAATGCAGCCAATACTTCTGCCAGTTACAGTGGATTTCACAGGTATCACATCCTTGCATACAAATCATGATGGCTGTGTGTAGAGAAGCATAATGGACAAATTAAAATGTAGCTTGGTTTTTGCTTTTCTCCTCTGATATTACCACGGTGTGAAACAAGCCTGGCCAAGTTCAATATCAGTTTGATCTGGTGTACTAACCTGTTTGCCACTCAAAGCAGTATCTCACCTTGTAACATATTTTATGCCTAGAGGACTCTTTTAGGGTAGGAAAATGGTATTAATTTCATCTATTCAAATTTTTCCTATGGTCACACTCAGAGAATAAGTAAACAGATGGAATTTATTCAGGTACCCAAAATGAAAATGAATTAAAATAAAAAGCTCCATACAGCAGATCTTTCCTTTTTATTTCAGAAAACCATCTTTCATGGGATGAAGATCCTTTCCAAGCTGCCTGTTTTTCCCATTATCAAAAGGTCAAAGTGCCTTGCCTGGTTTACTTGCTTCATATTTAGATTGCTGATTGAGATTCAAGTAAATAAAAACTTGAATCAGATTAACTGATGATAGCAGTACCAGTAGCTGTTTAACTTTGAAAGTACATATGTTCATAATAGCAAATATAATGCTGATATACTGATTTTTTTCCTGACACCTTGACATTCAAACTATGAGCATTCTTACCACTACTGTCTTGTTCCTGGCCTCAGGTAAACTTATTTATTTTGTTTTGTAAACTTCATTCAGTCATCAGGAGAAGATATTAGGCAATGAAAAGGAATCCTTTTTCCTCTCCTCTAACTGCAGCCAGTTTCCCTTGGGAAGCCGTGATGCAGTGCTCATTAGGGGTATGAGTGCTTTTGTCTCCTGGTACCAATGCTGCAAAATTATGAGCATCAGCACCAAGCACCCAAGTCCACCAGCAAGTAATGAGAGACAGGGATTTTGATGACAGAGAGGGCCTGTTGATACCAAAAAGCTTGAGCACATAAGCAAAAAGGAAGATTTTCCACTGTGATGCAAATAAAAAAGGATGCCTGTCCGGCACCCAAAAGATAGAATGATCATGGGAAGTGAACAGCACCAATACTTCTAAAACCAGAAGTCTTAAAAAAAAAATAGAAGGAACACTGTCCCTGTATCTGAACACCAACACCCAAGCAGGCTGCCACCCAAAAGGTATCCTGGAGTGCTAGGTCAAGTCTTGGCATCCTTGTTTGAACAAGCCATGCATTAGGCAAGAACAGTAAGCAATGCAATTA